CGATCATTTCTCTCTCTCTCTCTCTCTCTCTCTCTATATATATATATATATATATATATAATATTATATATATATATATATATATATTAAATCCATTCATGAAGACAGCTAAACTTTGACAGAAGGTAGTCACAACCACAGGAAGCTACACTATTTTGAAAGTGCTACCTTTTAGTGAATCACGGTTGTCAGTACAGTGCCCCCAGGCTTCACAAATGGTTCAACATTGTAGGTTTTTTGGCATTGAAATGTGTCTTAATTTGTGCACACCTAGCCAGGTTGATCAAAGGACAATACCGAACAGTAACAATGTAGCAGAAAAACCGGTTGAAGAAGAACCTGCTGATTATGTGTGGCAATTTCTACTCAGTGAACTTGGTTACAAAACGAACTAACAAGCCTTAGGTAGCTTTGTAAACCATATCGAAATAGACTACTAAGTCAGGTCCAATGGATAGTGATCGGTGGGGTAAAAATGTTCAGCGACAAAACATGGTATACAGACGGATTGATATAAAACAAAGTGCCCAAATCGCTCAGGCATTGACCAATTGCAAACATTGTCGTACAAAAAGCAGCTCATATAAGGTTCTGGCTTTTGAACGATCACCTTTTCTATGTGACATTTTTAACAAAAATGTATGCAGTCTGAGTCCGTATAATGCGGACCAGATGCGCAGCCTAATTCCGACGTACATCTGAGGAAAGTGCTCACAAACTGAAAACGTTCCGAACAAAACTGAGATCAATTCATCACTACTCACTTGGTCTTCGTGCTCGCTGAAAGCATGCTTTTCTTGCTTTGCCGACAAGTCCCACACGCGAACTGTTCGGTCTGTGGAAGCTGTTGCAAGATGCCGAAGATCCGGAGAGAACTGCACAGAAACAACCCAACCTTTGTGTCCATTCAGAGTGGAAACCACATTTCGTCCGTCGCGACTGAAACGCAGTGTACACAAGGTGGTAGAGAGCAAACGGAATCATAATTACTATTTCATTTCGGTATCCAAACTTTGATGTGGGAGAGTGGTGATCTAGTTAGATATCCCCGTTTCTCTTGCGAACAAATCTCAGAGGAAGTGTCAGTATGCATACAGAGAGGTTGCCTGGTATTTGCCAATTTTAAGCACCTATGGCGTCACAGCGACACTCGGTTATCCACAAAAGGTCAACTGTAAGCTAACGCAGTCTGACCGGGACGTGATAGCGATCAAGGGTAGAAATGCAGGCAGACTATTGGTGTCTGGACATCGCTGCCTATGCCAAACGAGTTTTATGGGATAACCAAACAAGCAGTGGTTAAGTTAGCTGTCGAGTAATAAGTAGCCGCAGTCACGAACCAGCTCAAGCGCATGATCTCCACAGATTATGGTGGTAGGGTTATGTATTACGTATATCATCGAATTGGCTTCCTTCGCGTGCGATGCTTGCCAAGGCAAGTAGTGGGTGAAAAGTAGCCAATTATTTGGCATGAAGGTTTCAGCCCCCCTGGAAATGAGAGCTTGGTCATACAGGTCACGTTAGGCTTCCTGGTTGGCTACTTTGCAACCAGTAGATAATCAACGGGTTAGGTCATTGGATGATATGGCTGAGTGCTGTGTATTGCGGCGTTCGTGCATTTACTCACACCTAGTCTATCCGCACTCGGTATCTTTCTCTTGTGACGACATTTAGCGATCGAGTCCTTTTGCACTAGTCGACCAAATCGGTAGGCAAAAAAAAACAGAAATCAAAAATGTATTGCCAATGGTTGCACAAACCAAATTGAACTGAGAGGAAGGTTCAGCTTTGAATGACCGAGAGACGTGAAGACTCCACTAAACAAGAAAATAAATCGTGGAGATTTCTGGTCTAACGTGTGTGAGCTTTCGTGCAATCTTAGGCATTTTATGAATTATTTGCTATTCAATGCCGAATGATTTACTTCAAGGCAAGGTCAGGAGTTACAAATGAAATTAGCAATACGCAAAAACTTACACGTCAAAAACTTTGATCTGTTTGTCATCTGAGGTGGAAGCTAACAGCTGTCCGTCTGGAGAGAAGGCTAGGGCTCGAACTGGCATTGCGTGTCCATCCAATGGTCGTATATTGCCAGTTTGCAGATCACAAATACTGACAATACCGTTGATTGCACCCGCGGCCAGCCGGGTTCCGTCCGGACTCTGGATGGGGATGAAAGCGGAGACTGATAAGCAATTCATCAAACCCGACGAAATTGCAACAAGTTGGTTTGATTGAGAAATCACCCGGAACAGAAGTCAGTAAACTAGGGTATTATTTATACAAACAATCGAATGCGTTACGACTGAGCAAAACAGTGGGATTTTGCATTGGTGGTGGTGGCGCAGTGGTTTAGTCGCTGCCAATGACGTACTTTGGACCATATGATCCGAGGTTCGAGCTCCGCCATCGTCACATGACTTTGGTGGTAGGCAGCTCTGCTGTCGTCCGATTCAATACCACGCCTAACCTATCGGGGCCTTATGTGGTTCGCCACTCCAAGCTCGGGGGCTTAGGTTGCCGATTTCAACCACTGAACAGCAGGTTCTCGTGACTATGGGGTTTACTCCGTCTGCTGTTCACCACACCTAGGTGTGTAATAAAAAAAATTGAGGCAAACGAACTAGAGGTATGGATCAAATGGAGGTGCATGTTGACAACGTGATACCAAAAAAGAAGACCGTCAGAGAATGTGGCCAACAAATTAGGATAACAGTACATACTCATCATAAACTACATTCAAAAGTATCTCGAGTCGCTATATTCATATGTCGAATTTCCAAGTACATTGAACTAAAAATGACCGGCAGGGTCGCATGCGGTCACATTTGTCCTTGAACTGGACGTAGAGGGGTATTGTTGCGTAAAACACTT